TAGTTTGTCTAAGACGAAACAAATAGCGAAATCATTTGATGCAACAACAACTAATACATCTTATCCGAGTACTCTTCTTAAATACTCAAGCACTTAACGTGTGTATGTAAATGTAATTTTCATGTTTTTCTGCATTCAGAATCTTTTTTTAAGGTATCTATCCGATTGCCTCCAAACATGAAGTCTACTCATATGGACAACGTGAGTCCTTGAATCGTACACGTTTCCTTCTTGTTCGAACAATGTAATTCTTAATTACTGACTTTCTTAGATGCCAGTTCATTATTCAAAGCACTAAAATTGTTTCCTGAAGCAGAATTCTTTCTGTTCAATATTCAGTTTTCAGAAAGCTATCCTGAGCATGCTATTGTATTAATGAAACAAAAAACAATATTGAGTAAGATAGAGAGATAAGTTTGATAAAGCTTTTCATTTGTCATTAAAATTATGCCACTAAAATGATCTTTTACGGAATCCTGTGAATAAGATTTGCATTGAAGCGCGAGTGACGGAAAGGAAAATTTTAAACGTGTCACATTTCCTGGTTTTGGCTCTGTTGACACCTTAAAGTTGATCATTGAAAAAGCCATGAAAAAAGGAAAAGTATTGGAAGTGATAACAATACCAGATAAATTGAAAATAGAAACCAATGAACAAATTAGAAACATGGCCAATCATCAGAAAGTGGAAGTTGTTTTTGATTCGTCTGCGGTAAGGAAAGTCAAATTTATACGTGTATTTAGCTAAGCATATCAAAACTTTCAAAAGTTTGTGTCTAGAAAATGTTCTCTCTCAAATATGTATACTATTTATTTCATTCCAAATGTTTTCATTCCTACTTAAAGAACGAATTTCATATTTAAAATTAAGGCTACTAATTACTCTCGAAAATTTTCCTTGGATGAGGCTGAAATCGCTCGCTCAAAACGTCTACCGATGTTAGGCCAAAAATATTTTACTGAAGAAAATCCAAAAAAGCCAGTTTTTTGGACGAATTATTCGAAAGATTATGGTACATCATCACTGAATGAAAACATTAGTTCTTCAGTATCTGGAGATAATGAAACTCATATAACTACCTCAGGTATGCTTAAAAGTAATCCAACATATTTCAGCTTTATGTTTCAGTCTAATAACTATTAGA